TCCCCACTCTGTCTCTGGTGAAGCCTCTCACAGCCCCTGAGCCTCTGGCCTGTACCCCAGTTCTGTATGCACAAATAAATAAATCTTAAAAAAAAATAGTATCTTAAGTTTAGCTGGTAGAAACAGAGAAACTTGCTTGAGGTTCAGATTAGTATTTTTGGACAAGTACTATGTATAAAAACCTATACTTCTTATTAAGGTTATGCATACAAAGAACATAACACAGTAGGAAACATTTTTCTAGGAAATTAAATTCTCTACATTTTTTCAATACATATTTTTTGGTCTTGGTTATTTGTCTGGTTGGTTCTCTTAATCCGTGGACACAAACTCAACAGATTATACTCAGCTTGGTAATTCCCAACTTGGAGCAAAGAATATCATGAGCAGTACAGGCTCAATCTATGCATAATAAATTTAAACTGAGCTTACTAGAATTTTGAAATGTCAGCTTCACTAACTGTGGGTATTTTAAGTATGGAGTTGATTCCATAAATAGACACTGCCTACTTGTAAATACTCTATGAAAGTAAACATTTTTGCAGGTGTACTCTATTATCTTCTACAGTTTACATTAATTTCATTATATAAGTCCATTGTTTCTTTTCTTTGGGATGAGTTCAAGTTAAAAAAAAAAGTGGTCTTTCAATTTCAAAAACAAAGGCCATTGAACTACAAGGAGTATTAAGCATTATTGAGGCATATGGGAACAAAACTTCTATCCTGAAGGTTAAAAATATCTAACTCTTTGCCTTTCAAAGGCATTATTCAGCACTGTCTTCCTAATAAGTGGAGCCAGAATTTGTTTCTATGCAAGCCTATAAAATATTTCCAGGGAGACTGCTCAATAGAGCAGTTGCCATCGGATGCCTCTCTCTAGTATATAGTAGGGGCAAGTGGCTGAATACAAGGGAGCCAAGTAAATACTGTCAGTTATCACTTGAAAATCTATAAAGTCAGTCATAGTTTGAAGAAAGAAATAGAAAGAACAAAAACAAATGAACCTCAAAGGGCCATAATTTCTAACCTAGTATAATTCTACTTCTAAGAATCTGTATTACAGAAAAAAATTTCAGTATGGGATATATGTATACAATTTTTAAAAAGAGCATTATTTAGATTATCTTAGGGAAATCCACATCTTTAACCTATAAAATAATAGTTAAGCAAATTATGGAATACCTTCCTGATAGAAGACTACACTGACGTGAAAAGGACAGGTTATAAAGATCATCCAGCAATATGGAATGTTAAATGGAAAAATACACAAAATTGACTTATGATAAATATGTCAAAAACAATAATAAGAGAAGTGAGACTCACACCATGTTGATAATGGTGATGTTATAAAGATGGAGTTATTTTTTTCTTCTCTATTTCTAATTTTTTTTTTGTAGTCTAGCTATTTTACATTTTCTAGTCTAAAGTTAACATTCACAAGGAGGTTATAAACTGGGTGTGGATTTTTGAGTTAGAGAAGGTAGGAAAAGATGGAAGGGAAGAGCTATTAACAGAAAGGCTAACTGGGATGTTAGAAGCAATCCATTGATAGGAAGTTGTGTGTATGTTCCAATTAACCATCAGCTGAATAATTATGCATATTTGTAGACTGCTTTCCTTGCGATTCTTTTTCTCCTGCCCCTTCCCAGCACCACATTTTGTACCACAGCATGATACAGAAGACCCAGAATACCCAAGTCGTTACAGCTCCTTCCTTATCCCATAAGGTAAATAGAATATATATTTTAAAAACATTTATTTTCTGTATGGCTTTTTACGCTATTAATGTCTAAAAGGAATATTAACCATGTTTTCCAAATGAAAGGGAATTCTAAACTTGATGATTAATGCTTTGGTTGGCATTGATGGAAGAAGTAAGTTGGTCCCTAGAGTGTGTATTTTTGCTTCATGTTCCTCAGCCAGCTTCCTTTCAGTGTGAGGTAATACAACTCCCTAAATATTTCCAGTGTTGTCACTTAAAAACAGGTTCAAAAAATACTGGAATGTCACATAAGCCATTTTATATAGTATATCTCTCTTTTATTTATATATAAGGAGCCAAGAGAGGGAAGACATAAGATAAGACTGACTACAAGGGACGAACAGAGTGGATGGGATTGCAAAAGACTCCCTACACAGCAGCTACAAGTCTCTGGATGAACTGATGCTGTTAGGTAGTGCTCCCAAATGTCCCATGTATCCAACACTTGCTACCACACAGTACATTCATGGCCAGACACTGTACAGGCACGTTTCCTTCTGTTACACTCAGAAGCCCTTCTTTAGCACCTATTAAAACTCTTACAAGACTATCTCAAATTACATTTCCTCCACGAGACAAACCTTTTTTCTTTTTTTTTTTTTAGATGGTATTGAACTTGTACAATCACATTTCATAAAAGCATGAGATTTTTCAAGTTGGAGGGGATCTTATAATCATTTAAGCTACCTTTGTGACCCAGTGAGAAATATTTTCCAAGGTGAGTTTATACTGATGAGTTAGGAGTAATTTTGAATGCCATGTATCCCTAAATTCTATAAAAGGTCTCTCAACTCTACCAGCATACAAGTTCTTTGATAAGAGGGACCACAACTTGCTCATCAATGATTTGTCCATAAGTAGGCACAAAGTCAGGCTTAAAAAAACTCCTGCTTTGGCCCTCCTTGGTGGTGCAGCGGGTTAAAGCACAGCACTGAGAATCTAAAGCCGCTGCCGCATGAGTTTGATCCCCGCCTTCCCCGGAGGTGACCACATGGCGTGGCAGACCTCTCCTGACCCGCCCGCTGCTCCCCTCAGCAGTGTACTTCATTGATCTGCCTGTTCTGTTCCCCACTCTGTCTCTGGTGAAGCCTTTCACACCCCTGAGCATCTGGCCTGTACCCCAGTTCTGTATGCACAAATAAATAAATCTTAAAAAAACAAAAAACAAACAAAACTCCTGCTTGGTTGATTTAGTTTGAAAATATGCTAGTGCAAGAAAAATGCTGAAAGTGTTGCTGAAGAAGCCAAAGCAAATCTGCTCCCAGAATCTGCTGTCATAAATTCTGTGCAACAGAATAATATGAAGTAGAAGGAAAGCATGACTTAAAAGATGCAACAGGAAGAGATATTTCATGTCACTGAACAAATTTACTACACTGAAAACTGGACAAGCTTTTCTAACCTCAAAGAGAGTGATATGTGCTTATTTTCCCCAGAAGAATTACTATTAATAGGGAAATAAAAAGTCATTAATAGGGAAATAAAAAAAAACTGTCAATAATTGTTTTTCCTTAAAATGTATACCACCACACAATCCTTTTTAAATATGCAAGTGTATCCCCATTAGAAATCAGAATGCTAGGTGAAAGCATTACAGGGCAACCCAGTGTGAACTGGGCTGCCAGAACTGACAAAACTTCCTAGAACATTCTTAAAATTTGGTCAGTTTCTCTAGCAAGAAAGTCTTTTTTATCTAAAGTCCACAAATACTAAAGAGGCATTATGGACAGTTGGGGGATTTGAGTTTTAGCTTTTCATTTGCTACAATTTTGCCTATCCTCTCCAGCCATTCTTTCTTTCCTTCCTCAACAGATGTTTACAAAGTACCTACTATGTACCAGGCACTTTGCTATGCAGAGCTCAGTGAGACAGGAAGACAAATTAATTCCAGAGAGGAGGGCAGACAATAAACTAAAGAAAACAAAGACAAATGTAGGCTTTAGTAAATGCCATAAAGAAATAAGCAGGATGAGAGAGAATAACTGCTGCCAACGTAGCAGGAATTACTTTAGCTTGACAGACCAGCCATGCATACTTTATCTCCCCATGAATATCAGGCACATCACTGAACTTTACTAGGATTCAGATTTCCAACATGAAAGACTAACGTTGAACTGGACTTGAAGTGAAAAAACTTAAATTTGAGTTCTGGCTTTGTCCTTAAAGCCAGAGCTCCATTTTCTCCCAGATAAAAGATAATGTGAGCAGAATACAAAAGGCCCTGTATACAGAACAGACTAAGCCACAGACTAAGAGTGTTGTGCTCCTTGCTCTGCTTTAAAACAACTGGATTACTTTTTGTATGCTGTTTCTCCCGGACAAGAAACATACCTGCCTTCTCAAAGAAAAATGAGTTTGGCAAATCAGCACTGATAAACCATTACTTACTGCACATTAAAAAAAGTAACTCATGATTTTCCATCTCCTTCTTTCATGCATTAAATTTAACTCAATTAGTGATAGCTGAAAAAAAAAAAGTCTATCAAGCCACTAACAAAACCACTATAGCATCCTTCCATGACAGTGTATCATATCGAAGAAAAGAAACTGTACCGAGTGTAAAGTGCCATTATTGGTCACTGCAGGAAGGCGGGCCCATCGCTCATTTTCCAATTCTTCCATTACTTGGTTCATTGCACTCTTTAGCCATGTGTCCACAGAAACACCAATTTGCTTAAGCAGGTCCAGCCGGGCTTCAGCTTTCAACTTAATTATCTAAGAAAACCAAGAAAATGGTCAGAAGTCAAGGCATGTTTTCCTCTCAAATTAATTGTATTAATCATTCATCACTTATTCATCAAAACAATCTTGATAGTCACTAGCACGGTAAAGATATCAATTTTTTTACTTGGAGAAAAAGACTAGGATGGGGGAGGGGAGGTGCAAAGTGGGAGAGGGGAAAAGTAAAAGGGAATGCAAAACAGGAACCAGAGCTGCTGACAAGGCAAATGGTACACATCTGACAAGAGCACAGCACTGATGACACATCAAATGTGACTTAAGAATAGAAAAACATTAAAGTGCCATAAAATCTGCATTCCTTCCCTCTTAATAAGGTCATGCCAGAACATCTGAAATGTAACATTTTCAACAGCATTCTAATCCATCTTCTGGATTGTTTCTCCTTCATAACCCATCCTTTTTTGCAAGTCTGCACATGGTCTCATTATGACACTTCCCTGTGGAAACATTCTTATGACTTCTGACTCCCTACTGAGTAAAGATTTTAAGTTAAATTATGATGTAGTTGTCAGAAAAAGAGGAGATTAGGAATAAAAAGTTCTTATTCTCTAAATTCCAGAAAGAGAAAGATTTCCTGTTCTTTGACTCTTGTTCCAAACCATAAAATAGTAACAAGGGTGTCAGTTTAAAGCTGTTCCACTCAAACAGTATATTTACTTAAGAAAATATTAGCCAACTGGATACCACAATAAATACAAAGAAAAATACACCATGCTCAAATGATACTTATCTCAGCAATCTAAGGTTGGCTTAACATTAGGAACCAACCAATACAGTTTATTGGATTATGAGACAAAAGGAAAAATGACTGTCTAAAAAGATGTAGAGAAAGCATTTGACAAATTTAAGTTCAGTATTCATCATAAAAAATAAAACAATAACAAAAACTTCTTAAAACTTCTTAATCCAATGAAGGATATTTACCAAACATCTACAGGCAATATTACAGCTAGTGATGAAAGTCTAAATGTTTCTCTCAACATGAAGAAAGACAGGGGTGTTGTGTTTACCACTTTTATTCAGTAGTCTACTAACCAGTACAATAAGAATAAGAACAATTTAATAAGAGGCAAAAAAAAAAAAAAAAAAAAGAGAAACAAAGGGCCCTCCTTGGTAGTGCAAAAGGTTACAGCACAGCACTATGAAGCTATCTGCAGCTACAGCAGTATGAGTTCTATCCCCGACTAGGGAGATGACCCACATGGCGTGGCAGACCTCTCCTGACCTGCCCGCTACTCCCCTCAGCAGTGTACTTTGTCAATCTGCCTGTTCTGCTCCCAACTCTGTCTCTGGTAAATCCTCTCACCTCCCCATACCTGTGGCTTGTACTCCAGTTCTTGTGTGCATAAATAAATGAATCTTTAAAAAAAAGTTAGAAACAAATAAGTAAACCTGCCTTTTATGACTAAATACAGTTATATAAGGAGACTACCCTATGGAATCTATCAAAAAGCTGCAAGAATAAATGAATTTAGCAAGCATATGCTCTAAGGTCAATATAAAAAATTTTTTTATCTCATATACAATGAATTTTATAAAATGAAATTTAAAATTTTAAATAGTATAAAAACAAAATATTTGGGGATTGGATTTAACAAAATATATTTAAAAGCCTTTATATCAAAAACTACAAGGTATTGAAAGAAAATAAAGAATGCTTACATAAATGGAGAGAAATTATCATGTGCATGGACAGAAGACTCATTATTGAGAAGTCAATTCTCCTCAAAATGATGTAAAGAGTCAAATATAACCCTAATCAAAATCTTAGCAGGTTGAGATTTTTTTTATAAAAACTGACAAATTGATGAAATGAGAAGAGTTCATACAACTTGGGGAAAAAAATCCAGTAGTTCCACTAGTACTGATGGAAATCAAATGAGATATTATAAAATTAATGGAGGATTAATGAAATTTTACATACATTCAAAACGGAAAGAAAGGATCTAGAATCATGGTTTTGACATATTTGATATTTTTGTAAAAAAACTATCTTCATGAATGCAGACTTACATACTGGTATTAACAAAGATGAGATATTCTCTAGTGGGAATCTTACTTCATAATTTCAGCATTAAACTAACAAACAGGGTAGTTCAGCACATTCATGGAAATAACAGGTCATTCCACCTAAACGCAGAATTTGTGTGACTGACACCTACTACTGCTATGACTGGAACTTTGGTAGAACTAGGGTACCAGTCAGTGACACCACAGATGGAGTCTGGAAATGGAAAACACAAGCAAGAGCAAACCCTTCAGAAAATTTCTGAGACTTCTCTTGTTCCACTATGGCTTGGAACTGGTTTTAACCAGAGTTTAGAGGAACACAGAATAGGAAAACTCTTCTATACAAGCCAATGTTTCTCAAACTAGTAAGGGCCTGCCAGTAGGTGCGGCTAGCACCCAAGAATAGTGGTTTAGTCATGACATTGACAGGTAAATAGCCACTTATTGTAACCCTGCCCTCTTCACTATGGACCCTGTGACTCAGACTGCCAGGAATGAAGGTGAGTTGGGGGTTACTGGTGTTTCTTTAGACCAAGTAGACAATAAGCCTTTTCTGGTTCCAATCACTGTCACAGGGTTGTGCCAAAACCACGCTCATATTGCCTTTGTCTGCCTCTTCCCTCAATGGTGTAGCCACCAAAACACTTCCTCAAAATTTCTAGAGTCTTGAGAGGGTATTTGAATGACACTTATTTAGACCCTCAATCAATGAATAATTTCTTATATGGAGTAGCCCATGACAGATGTTTGTCCCAAGTTCTCTTGTACAGATGACACTATATCCCAAGAAGTTTATTCTGTCACTGGGCAGATCTATTTGAAAGTATTTCCCAATACCAAGCTCATGTCTGCCTCCTTTCTATTTTCACTTTTTGAAGTTCATCTTTTGGCTTTTGAGGTTGTGTGGCATAAATCGGTGCTAGACCTTTGTTGCTGAATAACACTCCTTTATCACAAGTCCTACCTCTTTTGTTGCCCTAACAACTCCCACATTAAGCTCTGTGTTCTCAGGGTCTCTTAAATGTTAAGTATACGTGGGTAGACTCCTTGGCATTTCTGTTTTTATAATAGTGTGATTTACCAGAAAAAAAATTTATTTTTATTTATTTATGCATACAAGAACTGGGGTACAGGCTAGAGGTGCCAGGAGTAAGAAGATTCACCAGAGGCAGAGCGGGGAGTAGAATAGGTGGATCTACTGACATCCCAGTACTGCTAAGAGGAACAGTGGGCAGGACAGGAGAGGTCTGCTGTGCCATGTGGGCCAGCTCCCTGGCCCAGGATTGAATTCATGCCTCAGTGGCTGGCAATAGCTTCATAGTGCTGAGATTTTAACCCCTGTACCACCAGGGAGACCCTAAATTTTTATTTTTAATAAAAAACCATTGTTTTACTTCCTTGCTAGTATTTTTTACAGAACAGGACTTCCCCCCTTGGGTATAGTTATTACACTCCCACCATCAAAGCATCCCATTGCCTCCACATTATCCTGTTCTCCCTCAGGTACAGAGCTTATAATCTGTGGATCTATAATCAGCTTTCAAAGGTTGGTTTTTCTTTTTTTCTTTTTTTTTATTATTTTTTTATTACAAAGCTTATTTTTACATCATTTTGCACATTTATTTTTTTCTATCTCGATTGTAATCCCTGCGGGTTTCCCATCACAAAATCACCCCTGTGCCACCACCATAGTCCCATGCATTTCCCTCCCTTCCCTCCCCCCCTCCCCGTTTTTGATCCCATTCCCCACTCCACCCCCACAGAATGTCTCTGGTATATGGTTGCTCATTATTTTTGTTATTTTCTCGCCTGGTCCATTATACTCCTGCTATGAGTGAAACCATCCGGTATTTTTCTTCAAAGGTTGGTTTTAATGTTTGTTTTTGTCTGGCCCTATTTGGTTTTTCTATATTCCATGTATAAGTGACATCACTCAGTATTTATCATTCTCCTATCACTTCTGTTTTATAGTCTTAGTTATCTTTGGAATTCTTTATACCTTCCTAACAAGAACACATATTTGTTTTTATTTATTAAAAATAAAAGGTTGCCCCCATCCATTATATTTGACCCTTTTAACCCTGTGTTAACCTCAGAAATATCTATTTATTAATGTTTACTAGTTTTATCAGTATGTGATTTTGCTGAATTGTATGCTATGTAAATGTTCAATGTCATCATTCTGACTAGTTTCATCATGTAATTTCCTCAAACTCCTTCCATTTTGCTACAAATGGTAGCATTTTATCTTTTGTTATGATTAAATAATATTCTGTAGCATGGACCAAGATGGTCTCAGCCTTTTAAAAATATTTATTTCCGTATCCCTTCACTATGCTGCTCTAGGTAGGTAACTATACAGAAGCGTACACAGGTCCTTTGTGAACTGGACCTAATATCTAGCTCACTTCCTTTTACATTTCTTTACAAAAAAATCCTTTAATCAAATCTAATTACCAAACCGTAATCAATGTTTTCTTCCTCTACAAAAATACCTTTTTTTCATCTCAACCTCTTGGCTAAGAATTATTATTAGACTAAGGTAAATGAATTTCTGGATGCATTCTGTGTGTAGAAATGTTTCATATAACCTGCAAAGGGCTGCATGACCCCCAAAGGATTAAAAGCCACTGTTTTTAAGTTTAGTTTGAGGGCTTAACTAAGTTTTCTTTATTCTGATAAGTTCAGTTTATACCTTTGGATCCAGTGACTTCCATATGGGGAGACTTTTCTAGGCTCTGAACATATATTTATCAATTTTTATACTACTAATTTGATTTATTGTGTACTTTGTGAAAACTTTAAAATCTTCATTATGACTCAATTTTTATTTAATGTTTCCTGACTGTAAACTCTTTGTAGCAGGTTTAGTGTCATTGTTATGTGTATTAACTTGTATAAAGTAGGTGCTTAAAAAAGAGTACTACGGACACAGATATAAAGACTGCGAATCATTTCAAAATAATCAGTGTACAGAAACTGAGTTCAAAAAGGGCACACCACAACTGTTATATTGTTGATGGAATTGTGTAAAACATCACAATTAGCTGTCATCTCACCTCTGCTTTACGAATATTTTCTCTAGCTTCATCTATTTTCTGTTCCAACTCTGCTCGGCTTTGTTCTGATACAGCAACTCCATGACATTCCAGATCATCTAGAACCTATAAAAAAAAGGGTGGGGCAAATAACTGTTTCCTCTTATTTTTTTTTTATCTCTTAAGTGACTAGAGTATATAGATAATTCAAAACATTTTAGTGACAAGTGGCCACAGTTCCTTTTTAACCTATTTTTAAAAATTTGTAGTTAAACAAACAAACAAAAAAACCAATCTCTGAAACAATTATATACTCATACAAAGAGTCTCTATCAAGATTCTCCTAATGGTCACTGCAATAAAATATAAAATCCAAGAAACTGATATTGGTATTAATCTATAGACCTTAACTTGTATACATATTTTGATATGCATACCTTATCTTTTTAAAATTACTCAAGTATGAAGCATTTTTACAAACAACATATGTAAAATGTCAAAGTACCCTTTATATATGCAGAACCCACCATGTGCCCTCCATCTTAACCTCTGTCCTATCAACTTATATGGATTTTTCAAAGTATTTCTTATAGATGACCTACATAACTGTAGAAACAGAAATTTTGTTACAAAAAATATAATGAAATGAGATCTTTGCTTCAGTATGTCTCAGAAACCTTTTTACATTGGTACAGAGTAACTCTAGTGAGTCCACAGAGTTGAGTTAAATTGTGTCATATTTTATTTACTTTTATTCTCTTGTTATTTGTTTTCAAATTTCCTGAAGTATAAAAAGCAATGTATAAATAATCTAGTTAATGACACTTTGCTCACATATGGGGATACTTAAAATAACATTATAGATGTAGAAATTGTACATTTAAATTTTAGCAGATGTGACCTGAAAAGTTGTACCTACCCTTTTACAAGTAGCATATAACATCATGTTCTCTATATCTCACCAACACTGGGGACTGTCAATTGTAGAGATTTTTGAAACAAAGGGATGTAAAGATTTTCTCATTCAATTTTCATTTATCTGATTTATAGAAAGAACATCATTTTTTATGTTGCTGGTTATCTGTATTTCATACAAATAGGCAATATGTATTATTTACCCATTTTTTCTAATTTTTGTCTTTTTATTATTATTTAAGTATTTTTCTATGATAGTTCTTTTTCTCTTATTTATATTACAAAATTCTCCCTAATTCTATTCCTTTCTTTCTAAGTTTTAAAATTTCTCTTCTTTAATATTGATGAGATTCATATGGAACCACAAAAAACCTTGAATAGCCAAAACTCTCCCGACTAAAAAGAAAGAGGATGGAGGCATTATACTCCCACATTTGGAGCTATACTACAAAGCCGTAATAATAAAAACTGCATGGTACTGGAACAAGAACAGATACACAGATCAGTGGACTCGAATAGAAAACCCATATATAGACATCTATTCTTTGACAAAGGAACAAAGAAGATACAATGGAACAAAGAAAGTTTGCTCAACAAATGGTGCTGGGAAAACTGCGATGCTATATACAAAAAAATGAAACTAGATGACTACCTCACACCATGCACAAAAACCAACTTGAAGTGGATTAAAGACCTAGACATAAGAATGGAGACCATAAAATAGCTGGAAGCAAACACTACACGACATACACCTCAATGACATCGTTGGAGATACAACACCCAATGCAATGATAGTGAAAGAAAGGTTAACAGATGTGACTATATCAAGCTAAAGAGCTTCTGTACAGCAAAAGAGACATTACAAAAAACAAACATCCCACTGATTGGGAAAAAATTTTCTCACATAATACTAACAATAATGGATTGATCACATAGAAATATAAAGAACTGATGAAACACAACAAAAATAAAGTTAACAGCTCCATCAAAAAATGGGCAGAAGAGCTAAAAAGACACTTCTCCAAAGAGGAAATACAAATGGCCAACAAGCATATGAAAAATGTTCAACATCACCTGTAATAAGGGAGACGCAAATTAAAACCAGAGTGAGATACTACCTCACCCCAGTGAGAATGGCACATCTTAAAACAACTAGCAACAACAAATGTTGGTGAGGATATGGAGAAAAAGAAACTCTCCTGCACTGCTGGTGGGAATGCAAACTAGTACAAACATTGCAGAAAGCTGTTTGGAGGTTTCTCAAACTGCTAAAAATGGAGCTTCCATATGACCCAGCAATGTCACTCCTAGGTATCTACCCAAAATACAAAAACACTGATTCAAAAAGACACCTGCACCCCATATTTATTGCTGCTTTATTTACAATAGGGAAGACATGGAATCAACCCAAATGCCCAAAAGTAGATGACTGGATTAAAAAGATGTGGTACAGATACACAATGGGCTGTTACTCAGCAATAAAAAAAATAAATAAATAAATTCATGCCTTTTGCAGCAACATGGACAGAGCTGGAAGGGATCATGCTTAGTGAAATAAGCCAGAAAGTAAAAGAAAAATACCAGATGTTTTCACTCATAGTAGGAGCATAAAGGACTGGAGTGGGGTGACAATAATGAACCAAATATACCAGAGAACCAATATAATGAACCAATATACCAGAGACATTTTACAGGGTTGGAGTGGGGAATGGGATCAAAATTGGAGTGGGGGGGGGCAGTGCACAGACTACGGTAATGGCACATGGGTGAGTTGGTGATGGAAAGTCCATGGGGATTACAACTGAGATGGAAAAAGGCACAAAATTATGTAAAAATAAACTATTATAAAAATTTTTTTTCTTTCTATACATACTTTCAGCACATGTATCATACTTTTCCTTTATGGGCTTTGGGTTTTGTTATTATTTAAAAAGTCAGCCTGAATGTACTAAAAATATTCTTTACTTTTCCAGCTCTAGTTTGGTTTTTAGCATAGTTATTTAATTCTTCTGAAACTCATTTGTGGATAGTTGAAACAAAGAATGTAACTTTATATTTTTTCCCAAATAAACAGATAATTTCTGTATTATCATCTACTAAGTTCAATAAGATTTTCAAATTCCAATAACATATATATATTTTTTAATTTATTTATTTGTACATACAGAGCTGGGGTACAGGCCAGAGGCTCAGGGGCAGTGAGAGGCTTCACCAGAGACAGAGTGGGGAGCAGAACAGGCAGATCGACGAAGTACACTGCTGAGGGGAGCAGCGAGCAGCGGGCGGGTCAGGAGAGGTCTGCCACGCCATGTGGTCACCTCTGGGGCAGGCGGGAATTGAACTCATGCGGAAGTGGCTTTAGCTTCTTAGTGCTGCGCTTTAACCCGCTGCGCCACCAGGGAGGGCCCAATAACATATTTTTTAATGAAAAATTTAAATATATTCAAAGTAAAGATAGTATGACAAATTCCTAAATACTGATCACCATTTAAGGGCTATCAACATTTTTCCATTTTCTTAACCTTTTTTTTTTTTTCTTTTTGGCTTGAGTATTTTAAAGTAAATTCCAGACAGTGTCACTTCACTCTTGTATACTTTTAGTAAGTCTCTAAAACCTATGAAAAGGCATGTTCATATATATGAAAACATTCACACATGTGCTCATATATGAATACATAATGATGTTTTCCCTAATATTTAAACATCTCAGTTTTCTTTCATTAATATGCTGTCCTTCCACACACTGAAAAGCAGTGGTGGTGATGGATACAGCTTTTTTGTTTTATTATTCTGAAGATATGGTCTCTGAAGATATTTGACCCTTATCCCTAAAACTGTATATATGTAAGATATAATTTAGAGATAGATATATTAGAGTTATGGACCTTAAATTGGGTTATTCTGTTTACCTGAGTGCAAGTTAAGCACATAACCCTTTACAAGCAGAGTATTTTTCTCTGGCTGGAGTGAAATGAGAGATGTATGAAAAGGGTAGTCAGAAAAAACTCCAAGCATGAGAAGGATTAAGTGCACCATTACTGCTAGATCTGAGATGCAGAATCCATGAACAAGGACAGAACAGAGGCTCTAAGAGCTAAAGGGAGCCCCCAGGTAGGAAAAGGGGACCTCAGTCCTAAAAGACCAAGGAAATGGATTCTGACAACAATCTGTATGAATTTGGAAGCAAATTCGGCCCCTGAAGCCAGCCAGATGACACCTTGTTGGGCTGAAGCAGAGAGGACTAGCCGTGTCCATCTAGATTTCTTGATTTATAGAACCATGAGATAATAATTTGTATTGTTTCAAGCCACTAACTTTGGGGTAATTAGTTACAGCAGTTTTATAAATTGAATACAACCATTAAGTATAATGCTTTCTGTACATTTTAGGAGGAAATCCTCATCAGAGTTAAAAAGTTTTTATCCAGATGACTGGGAGTTTTGTTTTATTTTTTAATCACTAAGGAATATTGAATTTTATCATATGCTTTTTTGGCAAATATGAATATAATCACACAATTATTATTTATAATTGTTAATAAATACATTGATCAATTTTCAAAATTGAATTCAATATTGAATTATCCATGCATGATAAGTCATAAATTTAAAACACAGCTAGATAAAATTTTATTGTTTATAATTTTTACAAATTTGTTACATCTTTGTTAAAAATCAAATGACTATGTGTTTATTTAGATGTTTTATCCATTCATCTTTTTTTATATTTTTATTTTTTTACATCATTCCTCATTTTGTGCATTTTTCATCTCAGTTGTAATCCTCATGGGCATCTCTAAGTTTATCTTTACATCAATTGACAATACATCTTGGCTACTATAGGTTTTCTTTTTTAAAACCAGAGAGAGTAAACTCTCCAACTTTATTTTTCAAAATTGTTTTGGCTATTCTAAGTCATTAGAATTTCCATGTTTTTGACAATCTCTACCAAAAAATAAAAAAATAAAAATAAAAATAAAACCCTGCTGGATATGTGACATGGACTGTATTGACTATTTGGAGATAAGTGGTATCTTAAAAATATTGAGATTTTTATTTGACTAGTCAAAATGTCCTTATGCCAGTACTATAATGTCTCAACTACTGTAGATCTGTAGTAAGCTTTGAAGTCATGAAGCATGAGTCCTTCAGCTTTCAAGACTGGTTTGGCAATTTGGAGTTTGTGAGATTCCGCATGAATTTTAGGATGGGATTTTCTATTTTTTCAAAAACATTTGGGATTTTGATAGAGCTTGCTTTGAATATGACAAATTTTGGATGGAATTATCTTTTTATTTTTTTAAAAAAAGATTTATTTACTTACACATACAAGAGCTGGGGTATAGGCCAGACAGGTGGAGGCCTGAGGGGTGGGCTGAGAGGATTTACCACAGACAGAGTGGGGAACAGAACAGGTGGACTGACTGAAATACACTGTTGAGGGAGCAGTGGGCAAGGCATGAGAGGTTTGCCGTTCCATGTGGGTCACTTCCCTGGCTGGGGATTGAACTCCTGCTGCAGTGACTGAGGGTAGCTTCATTGTACTATGATTTAAACCCCTGCACCACGATGGAGGGCCCAAGTATTGTCAATTTTTAACAAATTGATTATGATATGCTTTGGTTTGATTTTTCTTTGTGTTTTAAGCATCTTGGGATTTGCATAGCTCCTTGAATTTATGGGCTTACAGTTTTTATTTTTAATTATGGGCTCTATTTTTTTCAAATGTTTTTCTGACTAATTTTTCTGTCTTTTACAGGAATTTCTTCTTAATGCTCAAAGTATAACAGATCTTGTATCACAGGGTAGTTTAGTTCAGATAGTTTCTATTACCTTTTAAGCTACTCTAATTTTTCACGTCAAATATCATATTTTCAGATCTAGGAGTTCCACCTGGAGCTTTTGTGTAGCTTCCTTTCTTTCCCACTCAATATGTTCACTTAAAAAAAATGAGCTTATTAACTATTCTAAAGTCCACATCTCCAAATTCCATCATCTTTAGCACTTATGGGTCTGCTTTAGCTGATTTTTCTTTTAGTTATGGATTATATTCTCTTCCTTCATTTAATATCTCTAGCAATTTGTATTTGATTCTTGGCACTGTAAATAGTATGCTGTTGAATGCTGGATTTTGTTCTTTCTTTGAAGAACAGTAGACATTTTTCTGGCAAGCAAATAAGTCACTTGTGATCTTTTTGAAAGTGTTTTTAAAAGCTCTATTAGGTTAGTTTCAAAATAGCCTTATTCAACTGTTAATTAGGCTTCACTGTCAATTTACAATCCTTCAGGCACTCTCCTGAATGTCCCATGTTGTACAAGAGTGCTCTTAACTCACGTTGGTCAGAACTTGAATATGTTTAAGTTGTATGTGATTTCTGGGAATTATTCCACTTATATCTCCATTGTCATTCTTTGTCTCTCTTGTGGAATTCTACCCTATGTGTTTGTGGTTCATTATTCAGCAAGAGACTAAAGGGGTGATCAATGTAGATGTTTGAAATTCTTTCTCTGTATCCCCTGCTGCCTGGTACTATGTCCTGAAATTTTAAATCACTTCGGCCTCTCTGAACTATGACCTCTATCACCTCCACTCAGTGGGTCTGTGTTGTTCTGCTTGAGTTTTCTCCTTGCACTGCAATGTGGAAAGTGCCTCCAGGAATAAAAACTGGGAGGTCACATGAGAAACTTAATTATTTTTTGTCTCTCTCAGGTTTTACATTCCTGTTAATGTCTATTGTCCAATGTCTAAAGACATTTGTCTCATATATTTAGACCAGTTTTATAGCTTTATATTTAGAAGGGTAAGTATGATCCCATGTTACTTTACCACAGACAAAACCAGCATTGGTTTTAGTGTTGGGGGCAGGGGGGGGGAAAGCCCTTCATTTTAATGCTTTAAGTATACCTTATTAGATTAACCCCTATCATAAGTCATACTATAAAGAACTGTAAAGGTTGCTGAAATCAGTCTTTACCTCCCAGCAGAAAGATACAACATGTTTGGACAAGAGAGAGAAGAATCCGATTTTTTTAAATCTGAACATTTGCTTTCAAATACAGTCATGCATTCCTGTGCATGTGTGTTGGGGGTGGGGGTAAGCAGTAGATCTCTTTTAGTGTATAAAGCCACAATAATTAATCTCATCACTGTTTATAGAATGTGTGATACATGGGCCTTGTCTCTGTAGTTCACAAAATCTTTGACTTAGATAAGCTGTGTTAGAGAAACTGCAGCAAAGCAGCCTTATCTACCCTCAAATTTGACTTAGATGGCAAGATTCTGGACTTTAAACTGGAATCTGATGCCTATAACTGTGGATCCAAAAAAATCTGTCTTGGAAATGAAAAGTCTACTTCCACATATGCATATTTCTTTCATGGCCAAAAATCACATAATATAGCATCACTAGCCTCTTAGATAATACCTTTTTTTTTAATTATCGTTTTAAATTGAGATATGATTCAAGTACCACAAAATAGAACAGCGAATATAAAGCTTTTCATATATTATGCAACTAGTATGGCTACCTCATCCCAGAATGTTTTGCATCGCTACAAAAAGAAACCCTTCTGGATCCCTTACCAATCATACCTCATTTCACTCTCCAACCCCTAGAAACCATTAACCTATATCTTGACTCTGGATTATATAAATGGAATCATCAAAGTGTAGTCTTCTTGTATCTGGTTTTTCTCACTTGGCATAACATTTTCAAGATCTACATATTGCTACATATTGTAGCATGTACTTCATGCCATTTTAGGCAATACTTTGTAAGCAGATAAATTACAGTGTTGCTGTTAGAGAGTTTAAAGAAATTTTCAAGCTAAGAAGATAGTTGAGATCATCCTGTTGAATGCTGAAAAAAATCTAGACAAGAAAAAGATATAAAGGATATTTTCCAGATAAATAAACTCAGCTCTCTAAATCTGTCTGATACTTGCTTACACTTACCCGTTGTTGGTGAATGATAGTTTTGTGCTCCCGTGCCACCCGTGTGGCCCATTTCCGAGCCTCCTTGTTTAGACTGTGCTCCTCTGTGGTCCCAGTTTCTGATTCTAATTGTCGGCTCTACAACACAAGAGAGAACAGAGAGGAAAGTATTGTTATCTTTATTGAAATCACTATCATTTTGCAGGTGGACCACTGTGCGTTTACTCATCAGCACTCAAAAACGTGACAATGGGAAGCAGTGTATCATGTCACAGAACATTTGCAGAAGACTAGGAGTCCAGTGTGGAACCATAAATGACCACAAGCCTTTTGTCTTATATTGCTGAACATGAAAGATTTATCTCTGGTACTTGGAATAATCCATTCTGGGTCTGAAGGAAGTTAGCTAAACAAAGAAAAAAAATTATGTTAACTTGCTATGACACATGAAATTGTTGCGCAGCCAAAAGATAAAAAGCAAGGGGCCCTGCCTGGTGGCGCAGTGGGTTAAAGCACAGCACTGTGAAGCCAGCTGCAGCAGCTTCAGTATGAGTTTGATTCCTGGCCCCACATGGCGCGGCAGACCTTTTCTATCTTGCCCACTGCTCTCCTCAGCAGGGTACTTTGTTGATCTGCCTGCTATGCTCCCCACTCTGTCTTTGGTGAATCCTCTCACTGCCCTTGCATCTCTGGCCTGTACCCCAGTTCTGTATGCATAAATAAATAAATCTTTTTTTTTAAAAAAGATGAAAAGCAGATTAATGCTTTAAAAAAAGATTTATGCATACAGAACTGGGGTACAGACAGTGAAAGGGTTCACCAGAGACAGAGTGAGGAGCAGAAAGGCAGATGTACTGAAATACACTGCTGAGGGGAGCAGCCGGGCAACAGGAGAGGTCTGCCACGCCATGTGGGTGAGCTCCTTGGCTGGGGATAGAACTCATGCTGCAGTGGCTGCAACAGCTTCACAATGTTGTGCTTTAACCCATTGTGTCACCAGGGAGGGCCACAAATTAATGCTTTCAATGGAATTAAAGAATCATTGGATAAAAGTGTAAAGAAAAAAGTAAAATAATTTACAACTCTCTCTGGCCCTGGAGATACTGGGTTTAATTTAGTTATAGGTTCATCATCAACCTACCACCAAACTTTAAACTAGCGCTTGTCCTTTTGGGTTTTAATATCTTATGAAAGATAGGGGTTATTAGATTAAATGATCACTAAGGAGTTTTTCTAGGTCTCTTCAGAAGCAGAAGGTCTTTTCCCGGAAAGTGTCAACTGAAATACAAGGCAATACTTTTCAGTATGCTTCTTCCTGGTAAAATAATTTCCTTATCTTTTTTGTCTACTTACTAACTCCTACTCATTATTCAATCTCATTTCGCATACTACAGTCTCTGTAAAATCTTCCTTGACCTTTTCAGACAAGATTCAGTGGTGCCATCACTTCTGACATATCTCCGTTATATTAAGCTTTTCACTTGTGGAAAGGTTAATGTCAAGCAACTATCACATTATATGTGACTACTGTATGAATATTTCCTGTTTGCCTTTAGACAATCCGAGGGCCTAAGCATCTCTGCATTCCTGGCAGCTAGCACCATGCCTAGGAATGCATAGAATGCCCTCAGTATAGGTGGATCAAACAACTACAGCTCAAGGATCTGATCCCAAAATAAGGACTACATCACCAGATTACTAGAATGATGCTTTCAGAGATGATGAGAGAATAAATATATCCTGGGAGATTCAGTTTTTAACAGATGAGAAAAGATTATTCTGTGTGGGGAAGAACAGAATGAACAGAAGAGAAAGGGAACTAATTTATTGAGTGTTATGCATCTTAATACAAGTTCTCAAAACTCAATTTATGATTAAAATATTTTGATAGTGCTGAGATTTCAACCTTGCACAGGCCCTATTTCTTTAGTTCTTAAAACAATCCCAAGAGAGACTATTGTCAGTTTATAGGTGTGGAAGTCTAGGGTCCAAAACACTGTTTTTCCAGAAGCCCTAAACCACTAAGCAGTGGATCTAGAGATTGCAGTGAAATTTGACTCAGATTTTTTGTCATCTTTGAAACATTGCACTGTCTTACGGATAATTCTGTTTAGCTAAGCTAGTGTTAATGTTGTTAACATAGAAACAATATTGAAAAAGGCATTACTAGGTAATATAAATTACCTTTCAGTGAAATTTTAGCTAGGCTTTTACTTAGAATTAAGCTATTTTGTGATTTAATTTTATTTTTAGAAAATCAAAGGCCAAACTGTTCCAAATGAGCGTAAGGTGACTTTTAAAATCTAGCAATTTTTTTTTTTAAATTTCCAGTTCTCTTAGAATATTAAAATGTAGAGTTAATTTTATAAAATTATTAAATAAATGCCTGCTAATAAATGCCTGTTAACATAAAGGCACAGAAAAGTCAGACAGGTGAGCATGTGCCTAGGAGGGCAAATTAATAGGAATAGGAAAGTTGCCATTTACATAAGAAACACTCATTATTTTTCAAATCTATTAACGAAAATATAACCATCTGAAAGAGAGAAAAGGTCATGGTCATGTAAGATGAATGAAAACCACTAACATAATAAGATACTAGTATTCCTACCCGATTACAAAAATATATTGCTAGGGATGTCAGGCCTGTCATATGTTAGGAACAATCTTATAAACCCTCATTCAAGGTACTTGTACTTGTTACATTTTTCAGCTAGGGAAAAGGTAGACAGGTTGTATCATGTTAAATATTTTATCCATTATACTTTGTGAAATTTAATAATATATTATTTTTAAAAAAGTATATACAATCTCAGTAAAGTTGACGTGTGGAACTGATGAGAACTCTCAGAAATTTATTTTTTAAATTTACTTATAATAAGTAAATTTACTTATAATGCTATATAAGAACTAGGAGTAGGTCAGAAGTGTGGGGTAGGGAGGGTAGAATATTCACCAGAGACAGACAGGGGAGCAGAACAGGTGGATATACTGAAATACACTGCAAAGGGGAGCAGCAGGCAAGACTGGAGAGGTCTGCTGCACCATGCAGGTCAGCTCCCTGACCCAGGATCGAACTCATGCCACAGTGGCTAGCAGTAGCCAGATAGCGCTGAGACTTTAACCCCTGAGCCATCGGGGTGTTCCTATATTAATTATTCAAGAAAGTTAATTATTATTTGTTCCAAAAAGTACTTTTTCAAGTATAAAACACTGGATCTTTGCAGGCTACTATATTCCTATCACTGTATCACTTGTGTTTCTAGAGGTCCATACTAATGTCATTTTGAAATTAAAATGTTCTGAAAATTAGTTATTTTCTGGTAAGTTGGGAGCCAAAACTCACTGTAGCAAAATCTGATTTGACCTAAAGGGAGCTTGTAGTTTTTATTATACTCGGTGTGCCTACTGATGCATACTGTAAAAACAATGTGTTCAATAAGCTATACCCTGCTGAGGTTGTTATGCAATATGTGGTATATAAAACACCTGAAGAAAATCTGAATTTTAAAACATACCTGGCTCAAAGGCTTTTAAGACATTGTGGATCTCTAACTCACATATTTTAAATATATGACATACTTTGCAGAGGAATGGAGCAATTTTCCTTCTTAGACACACTTCAACTTAGTTAACTATGCTTGGGTAACAGCACTTTCACCTGTAAGTGGGAATTCACTTGGATAACTGGGCTGAGTGTGCCTAGTCTCTAAAGGGAGAATACACTTGAGGATAGTTTGTGTGGCTTGAGCTTTTGGACATTTCTGAAAAACTCTGGACAACAGAGGAAAAGTATATTACAATCTCAGGAAGGTTGAGGTGAGGAACTGATGAGAACTCTCAGAAAGCAGCTCCTTCTCTTGTTTTGGCTTAGAATACCAAAGGTAAATCTGAAAGAAAAATGTGTCCCTGAGTAATTATGTTAAACAAACAAACAAACAAAAAACCAACATGGGCCCTCTTTGGTGGCACAATGGATTAAAGCGCAGCACTATGAATCTAGTCACAGCCACTTCAACACAAGTTTAATCCCCGCCCATGGAGGTGACCCACATGGCACAGCAGACCTTTCCTGTCTCTCCTGCGCTTCCCTCAGCAGTGTTCTTTGTCAATCTGCCTGTGCCTGTTCTGCTCCCCGCTCTGTCTCTGGTGAATCCTTTCACCGCCCCTGAACCTCTGGCCTATAACTCAGTTCTGTATGCATAAATACATAAATCTTAAAAAATAAAACACCACCATGACAAAACCTTTGTGTCAGACACTCTCTAGATGTATCTAGAGAAATGACTAGATGGAACAACTATACAAAGTGGTACTTTTATTTTGGTAGTTCTTATAGAGACTATGGTTTAAGAGCTATCATCATAAGTATGATAAAAAAGGAGCTTTCAGGCTACTGTGTAAACAATACATTACAGCAAGAAATCTATGCAAAGTTCTGGTTAGAGAAGGCACCAGACCAGGAGAAAGGTCTATTTTTTTTATATATATTTACCACATAGGTTTTTCTATTATAAGAAAATATGTCCTTTTTGAAAAGCTGAAGAAATTAGGACAGTTCCTTTTGAACACTTGGGTGTCAGCATCTCCGGTACATTCATGTCTATAATCAGAGCCTTTCATTTGGATTCTATAGCCAGTATATATATAAGAGAATGGTGCCTATTTACCCTGCAGGATTTCCTAGGCATTCTCTATTATAATGCTTCCATTGTTATAAATACAAGATTTCCATTAGCAGAAAGAAGCATCCATAACAATAAGAAATTTCAGTTAATTCCCTGCATGGTATATTGACCCCCTCCCCACAGAGTGTTTTCTAGACAGGACAGTTTTTGTTAAATATTTATTTTAATAGATACATAAAATGCTCACTTATGTAAAACTTTAAGATTCAAAAATCCTAATTACGGGAGTGGGTATTTCATTTAATGTAACTGTTAATCTATAGAAGGGAGAATTAAAAATCAGCATTAGTGGTTAAAATAATGAGAAAAGAATTAAAAATCAGCATTAGTGGTTAAAATAACGGGGAAAAGAGATCATATAATAGACATTTAATGTCTTTTTTGTTACTATTATCTGTGAAGATATTATTTACAGTTTAGGGAATGCAAAGAGGAAAGAGTCTTCTCATCTGCACCAGGAAATCTGGAGGACAGCTTCCTTATTTTTCCTGCCATACTTATCTAAATTTTGTGGATGTGTGTATTTTCCATCCCAGGCTGACCTTGTTTTTTTTTTCATAACATGTGAGAAAATACCCCAAGCACATACATCACTAGTTCTGATAATGGAAGGGAGACAACCTAGATGCATGAAGTACTTAGTGCAAATTATGAATTTATGATAAGAGGAGTAAGAATGGACATTAATAATCAGCTTCTGGCTACTATTTATTCTACACAGATTTCCTTTTAGGTTATAAACTGCTGAAAGAGAGGCTTAATGATATCTACCTTTTGGAATAAAAAGGGAAGGGAGAAGTCCTAAGAGACTTTCAGTGATCAATTCAATAACAGAGTTAAGAGCTGGGAACCATAATTGCAAATATGTCACAAGATTTCATAATCCTGTGATATCGTCTGTATTTAATATTTTCTAATACCCTGTAGCAATTAGTGGCAAAACTAAGTAATCTTCTCTATGTAATCCAAAGGTCTAGGCAAAATAATTATTAAGTGAATGAAAAAAAAATGAATGTGTTAAACTCATAAACACTACAGATTCTTAATTCAAGTTATACAATTCAAAACAAAATTAACAGATAATGTCTTGAGCCTTATCATATGACTGTCTTGCTTGAAAACATTCCATTGTTCTCCATATATCACTATATATATAGTCCAAACAAAATCTGGCTATAACCTACAATGTCAGTCAACTTCTCCCTTGCAAAGGAGCAATGCATTTTCAAACTTTCTGGCTCCCTCATTTACTGAGTGATCTTCAGCAAACCTCATTTATTTGTTCGATTTTTTATTAATGATGTACTACTATTTTACATGCTTGTTTGTTTGTTTTTTTTCCCCACCATATAGGTTTTCCCCACTCAGGTATGGTGGCCAGTTTTCCCACCACCAAAACACCCACAGTCCTCCACTACGGTCTGCTGCACTTCCTACCCACCACTGTGTTTTCTCCCCTCTCCTTGAAGTAACAACGAATACCCTCCTTTATTGCAGCAATTTTACCTTCATTTCCTTAACTATAAAATGAGGATTAAAAATGAACCTATAAAATAGGGTTGCTGTGAAGACTGCATGAGCTAATGTATGTAATACAAATAGAAATATGCCTAGTGTGAAATAAATATCCAATGAATATCACCTATTATTTTTATTATTTTTAACTGCTGTTTTCCTGACATGTTTGCCAATCACTGTGGAGTAAATGTCAACTTCATCTTTAAGATCTACTCTATAAGAAGACAAACAATCCAGTAAAAAAAGATTTGAATATTTTACCAAAATACATGAATCACTATTATAAGGTCATGAAAGAGACGTCATGTTTTAGTCATTAGGTTAACATAAATCAAAACCAAAATGAGATATTATTTCACACACTATAAAGGCTATAATCAGACAGATAATAATAATAAAAAAATGGTGGTGAAGATGGAGAAATGAGAATACATAAATGTAAAATGGTGCAGCCTTTTGGAAAAGGTTGGCAGTTTCTTTTTTTCTTAAAGATTTATTTATTTATGCACACAGGAGCTGGATGCAGGCCAAAGGTGTGGGAATTGAGAGAATTCACTAGAGACAGAGTAGGGAGCAGAACAGGCAAACTGCAGAAATATATTTCTGAGAGGAGCAGCAGGTGAGACAGGAGAAATCTGCTTTACCATGTGGGTCACCTCCCTGGCTGGGGATCAAACTTGTGCTGCAGTGGCTGTGGGTAGTTTCATAGTGCTGAGACTTGATCCTCTGTACTACCAGGGAGGCCCCAGGTTGGCAGTTTATTAGAAACAAGTTTATCAGCAACTCAAAAGAAATAAAAACATATTAATACAAGACTTACACACACAAATGTTAATAGCAGTATTAATAGCAATAGCCCAAAGTGAGTTACAACCTAAATCTCAATCAACTGATGAACAGATAAACAAAGTGTGGTATATTCATATAATAGAATACATATAATATGCATCAATAAAAAGAAACATACTTGATACATTCTATTACACTAAAGAACCTCGAAAATATTATGCTAAGTGAAAGAAGCAAGATATAAGAGATTCAATTTATGTGAAACATCTAGAAAAGGCAAAACCAAAGAAAATAAACTGGGATGAGATAAGACTAGGAATTAATAGTAAATTGAACAGAGGCATCTTATTTGAGTTTTGAAAATGTTCTAAAATTTATGATGATGGTTGTAAACTTGGTAAATTTAAAAACACTGAATAGTAAACTTGAAAATGAGTGGTTTATAGATATACCTATAAAGTTATAACAAAATCACACTATATCAGGATGCAGTAAGTGTACCCAGCATTGGACACCAATAGTATGCTACTGTGTACAGGATTTGCCATTCACGTATGTCATGTGGGGGCTGCAGCTTAATAATGAGTAGCTTCTGTCTTCAGCAACTTCTGAGTTGTTGGTACATACTCTAGGGGCTTAGTGTCTGTTGAACTGAAATGGGATAGAAACAACAGTCTTTTCAGAAAACAACAGAAGATAGGGTGATTAGTCCTTCCTACATGTCCTACATCTACCTTGCAATAAGAGTAAATAAATGGGCACTGACAGGTGTTCTAGTCCATGATGGGCTGAGTATTACTAACTCTAAGAGGAAACCAAAAGAGCAGGTAAATAGTGGCTCCATGGTCAATGAAAGACTAGTACAATACTGAGAAAAAAGAACCATTTGGGACTGTATTCTTTGTGGGCAGTAAGAATACTTACTTTATAACAAAGCAATTACACAAAAATATTTAAAAAATTTTCAATGTAATTATTTGAAAGGCCTTCTAATGGTTGACAATTTGGCATGATTTCAATGAAAATAGGGGCATTTGTATATTCCTTGTGAAAAAATTAATTGTACCCTGAGTGTTAGACATTTCTTCTCAAAAAACAGAATAGCATGCAGAAAGAACACTAATATTGCAAACAAGACAGTAAAGTATCATTAATTCACTGTATGATTCAGAACAAGTCTCTTTTTCTTTCTAGGTTTCAGTTTCCTTCCCCTTTAAAAAAGGTAAGATGAGCGCTGAAGTTTTTTCCAGCACTCCTGTTGAGGAAAACTAAGGTTTTCATTAAGCAAAAGCTATTTCAGATAAGATGAAAAACATGAGCAATTCAACTTTTCACTATAAACAGGAAAGGAAATCCCTGATTTATGAGGGAAAATAGAAAGCCCCAGCTTAAGCATTTGGCAGCTCCTAATATATACATGTGCACACACGCACACACACACACGCACACAGCTTTTCCCCCAATATTGGGTCCCACCCGTCATTAACATGCAAACCCACACATCCCATCCCTCCCACCTTTGACCCCCATATACCTCAGCTATGGTCATTCTCAGAGCACTGACAGGGGAGAGCTCAATATCCACCAGTTGGGCGGCTTTTAAACTCTGCCCAGTAAAGATTGCACAAGGACAGAAAATAGCATAGAGTTAGAACTTAAGGCAAACAGGGACACACAGCTAAGAACATTTAGCACAGTGTCTAGAAACAAAAGGATTTCGAATTGTAGTTGGACTATGGACAAAGGACATGAAAGTCACTGTCAATCTGATTCTTTTCTGAGGAAAATGAGCAAAAATAAAACAATCTCAAATTAGTCACATTTTTAACTCAAGCTTGGCAATTTTGCCCACATCCTGTATCTTCTATTGCTCTGCTTCACTCCTCCCAGACTTCAAAGAAGTCAAATTATAGGACAGTGTCACTGGGTCATTAAGCAAAAGTTACTTTATTAAAAAAAAAAAAAGCAAACAAACCACTACTCTAAAGGGTTATAATCAGGGAAATGCTGGCTTTTGACTTTCTTTCTTTCTTTTTTTTTTTTTTTAAGATTTATTTATTTATTTATGCTTACAGAACTGGGGTATAGGCCAGAGGTGGTGTAGGTGAGAGGATTCACCAGAGACAGAGTGGGGAACAGAACAGACAGATGGATGAAATACACTGCTGAGGGTAGCAGCGGGCGGGTCAGAAAAGGTCTGCCACACCGTGTGGGTCAGCTCCCTGGCCAGGGATCGAACTCATGCTGCAATGGCTTTGTAGAGCTTCATAATGTGGTGCTTTGCACCACCAGGGAGAGCCCGCTTCCGACATTCTTAATATAGCCTCTAACAGGGTTACTTAAAATTTGGTAATTATAATTAAAAAAAAAAAGGTATTTCCATCCAAGGAAAGGTTATAATTAAACTATATGTCATAAATTCTGGTTCTGTTTCTAGGGTTTCTAAACCTTATTAATCTAACTTGATTTCCTTCTTGCTTGTCTACATTAAAAGACTGAGCTAAGCCATGCCACTATGTGCACCCTCACCTTGTAGAAATTAAGTATCTTTTTTATGTTATTGAATTAGCATTTCAGTTTTTAAAAATCAAACAATGGAAAACATTTTTTTCACAGAGTAAATGAAGCTAAAAATGTATGAATGTTTACTTTCTAAAAGTTGCCAATTGTGTCAATAATGTAACATTCTAAGAAATATGAAAGGAATGATAAAAGTCCTGTAAATTTTTATAAAACCAATAAAAACAGATACATGCACATTTTCATTATTATATCTGCCTGTTCTATTTTGGTTAAAATTTAATCACTGGTTTCTTTGGAATGGAATACATGTTAAGAGTTTTGTGAGTATAAACTATATATTTAAGTTGAAAATAATTTTTATTGAATCTTTTTTCTTCTTTCCTCAGTTCAGTTTTTAGATTTTCAGTAACTTCTCACAATTCACCCCTATTTAGTAGAAAGCTGTTAGCATAAAATACTAGCATAGAATGTTAATAACATTCTAAAAAGAGGAAATGTCACAGTTTCTCTGTATCCTGTTTTATTATAGAATTAACAATACACTGTGTTTTCTATTTCAAGGATGATAGTTATTTGAGGACAAACAGAGCTTAAAAAAAAAATGAAAGTCTGAAATTCCCTTACAGTGTCACTGTCACAAGGCTGGAACTGGAAGGGCTGAGGTTTGTGGAATACAGCATTCTCTTGCAAAAACAGCTGAAGATTGTAGTCCCGTACCACCTAAAGAGAAAATAAAATAGCTTTAATAAAATTAAAATGTGTCATATTTACATTTTAAAGTGAATTATTCTGCAGTTTTCAAAAATAAAAAGCAATCAATACTATGTTGTTAAAAAGAAGTTAAAATTACACATTTCCTCCCCTTTTTATGAGTGTTACTAAAGTTTTGCAATTTCTCAAGAATCTAAATTTGGAAAGTACTAGTTTAGAAACTAGCCTAGATTTTGGGATTAGACAATATGTAGTATTTTTTTGTGAGCAAAAAGGGAGCTAGTCTGCAAAATACCATTCCTTTTTAATGGGGGAGGTGCAATTATGAAGCACTAATCTCCTAAGGCTCTCCCAGCTCTCACCTATTTCATGAATCTCGTGAAGTCTGTTCTGCAAAGATTGCTACTTATTAGGAAACTGTCAGAGAAACCTATCCATAATTCATAGCAAAGTGTAGTATCTTTATAGTACTTTTTCTAGGTTACATTCAATTCACCATTTTAAAGCATAATAAGACAGACTTTAAAAGTTATTTATACAGGCCCTCCCTGGTGGCGCCGTGGGTTAAAGCACAGCATTAAGAAGCTAAAGCCACTTCCACATGAGTTCGATCCCCACCTGCCCCGGAGGTGACCACATGGCACAGCAGATCTCTCCTGACCCGCCCGCTGCTCCCCTCAGCAGTGTACTTCGTAGATCTGCTTGTTATGCTCCCTGCTCTGTCTCTGGTGAATCCTATCACCCTCCACATCTCTGGCCTGTACCCCAGTTCTGTATGAATAAATAAATCAGTCTTTAAAAAAAAGTTATTTATACAGAAGGTGAATTCTGATGCAAAGAAAGTGGTAAAACAAGTAGCACAGAAAGCCATCTGAAAAGAATTCAATGAATTGTATGCCATGGGAAGTAGAAATCAACAACATTTGATAGTGCAGAAATCCATTTTCTATTTTGCTATACTGCTTACCTTTTACTTAACTTTGTAGTATATTTACAGTTCATAAACACTTCTGCCAGAGGATGGGCAGAATAAGGAAAAATGTTTAAAGCAGTTCTGTAGATTTTTTTTAAAAATTTATTTATGCATACAAAATTGGGGTAGAAGCCAGAGTTGCAGGAGTGGTGAGAGGATTCACCAGAGTGAGAAGCAGAACAAGTAGACTGAGGAAGTACACTGTTGAGGGAAGCAGCAGGTGGGACAGGAGAGGTCTGCCGTGCCATGTGGGTCAGCTCCCTGAATGGGGATCAAACTTGTGCTGCAGTGGCTGTGATAGCTTTATAGTGCTGTGCTTTAACCCACTGCACCACCAGAGAGGGCCTAGCAAAAGGATTAATTGAGGAAATGGAGAGAAAGAAGGTATATTTTGCATTTTATCCTTTAGCACAATACTAGTTCTCTATTGTTTCCCTGCCCCAATTCAACAACTGACTTATGGAGAAAGTTTACCATGGCCAATGTTCAATGAAAGGATGGGGGAAATATTTAGAGAGATGAATAAAGATGAATGAACAAGGTTACCATCTTCAAGTTAGACTGGTAACTGGGAGAAACAAAAAGGTTACAAATTATTAAGTGTGATTGAAGTATGAAGAGTGTACTAAGAGAGCACAAACAAGGAGGGTATTTAATTTATACTTAAGTGCAATGGAGTAAGGAGTGATAGAGAAAATTTAATCAAGGAAGGATGACTGAATAAGCATATCTATTTTTTTTGTGTTTTGTTCTTTTTCTTGATTCCATATTTAAGCTAAAATAGATGTGAAAACTAACTATTTGCCATGGAGAGAAAGCTAAAAGGATCATCCTTCCATTTTCTAGCCTATCCTTTTGGTAGTTACAAACCTTTTTTGTTTCAGCTGTCTTTATAGGGAAATTTTAACTATCTGCTATGGAAATTTTCAAGCACATATGAAAGTTGAGACAACAATGTCACGATCCCTCCCTTCCCTCTACCCTCCTGGCCCCATGTACTCATCACCCAACTTCTTAAAACATCCCCTCATCGCCCACCTTGTTTCATCTATACATCTACTACCTCTTCAACCCTTACTATATCAAAACATACTAAACATATAATTTAATAATAAAATATTTTCTAAAATATGATATCTGAATTATAAAGGCTCTTTCAGAAACATATTCTTGTTAAAATTTATAATAAAGTGGATGGACTGAGGGTTCTTGGGTGTGATGTAGTAACACCTGAAGGAGAACCTAGACCTAAAACATAAATAACAATGCAAATTAATAATTCAACAAAAAATAATACTTATAAATTAACTAATGTTAAAATTACCCTGTTTCATATTTTTAAGATTTTCTAAGTCAGGTGAAAATAAAGCCATCACAATGCAGCAGGATGATGTTGCATAAGTTTCTATTCATATATTGATTTCTTTCTCTTATCTCCCCCATGCAATCTATCTGTAAAAGAAAGTGGATTTCAGCGTGGTAGAATTTCTTTCCCATAGTCTGAACACCTGGAATGTTCTGTTTCCTGTATTTCCTATAAATTAATGCCTGATTGAATTCAAGTTTTTGGTTTTTGGCAGTATTTTGTTTTTTGGTGGTATTTACTTTCATGAAGAGGCTTGCCTCTGACTTGCTTCTTTGTACGATAGTAACAACTTTAGTGGGCTGAATGGTCATTTATGTCCTGTGTGCTACTTCTTTTAGAAAAAGGCCTTTGCTGACACAGCTAAGTTAAAGATTTTGAGATAGGAGATAATTCTGGATTCCTTGGACCTAAATTCAATGTTAAGGAGCCTTATAAAAGACACACAAAAGAAAACAGAGGAGGGGGCAATGTGTCCACAGAGACAAAATAGATTGATGAAACCATAATGCAAAAAATGTCTGAAGCCACTAGAAGCCACAGGAGGTAAGGGACAGATTCTCCCCTGAAGCCTTTGGAGAGAATCAGAGGGTCATGCTGACCCTTTGATTTCAGATTTTTGGCCTCTAGAACTTGGAGGGAATACATTTATGTGGTTTTAAGCCACACAGCTTAAGTATGCATAGCAACGCTAGAAAAACTAGTAAAATGTCTATGATTTTCAGTTCCCTGACAAGTGATGATGGACATTTTTTCATGTCCCATTAACCATCCGTGTCTTCTTTGGAAGTGTCTACTTTGTGTCTGCACATATTTTGATTGGGTTTTTGGTTTTCTATTTGGTGAGTTGTGTGACTTCTTTGTAGATCTTGGATAGTAGCCCCCTGTGAGATTTTCCCCCCCATTCAGCAGGGTATCTTTTTGTACCATCTCATACCTGTGATACTGGCCCATATCAAAAAGTCCTGGAAAACAAGCATTGGCGAGGATGTGGGAAAAAAGGGAACCCTTGTACACTGTTGGTAGGGATGTAGAATAGACTGGTCTAGTCCCAATGTAAAACAGTGTGAAGCTTTCTCAATGTTTTAGAAATAGATCTACCACATGATTTAGCAATTCTACTCCTAGGTATTTACCTGAGGAACACGAAAACACGAATTCTAAGAGATAAATGCATGTCTCCATTCATAGTAGCACTACTTACAACAGCCAAGTTAAGTATCAACGTAAGTGCCCAAGTTTAGATGTGTGGATTAAGAAGACAAGGTACACACACACACACACACACACACACACACACACACACACACACACACACACCCCAAATACTACTCAGCTATCCAAAAATGCGATTTCTTGATATTTGTGACAACATGGGTAGCAATGAAATGGAAATAAGTGAAATAAGCGAGGAGGAAAAAAATAGAGTGATTTCTCTCATATGTGGAATACAGGGAAACAAAGTCACACAAAATCAAGCCAAGTACAAACCCTAGCCATGTGACTATATCACCGAGGCTACCAGAAAGGGATTGGAAAGGTGGAAAAAGGAAGGTGGTAGGGAGCTCAATGCACATGGTGGAGGATTATGGCCTCTGTGGTAGGTGTGGTATAGTAACATATATTGGAAGAGGTGGGATCCTACAACTCTGAATCATATATAGTGTGGCAAACCAGTTACCTTAATAAAAATAAAAGAAAACAGCCTATGAGGATGAAAGCCTAAATCATTATGGGTTGCCAACAGTAGAGATTTTAATTTTTTTCTATCATTCTATAAGGAATTCTGACAATCCATTTTATTTAATAGTAGGAATGCTTCTATAAAACAAACTTTTTAACCATTTAGTTAACTTGAGATGCAGCCTGTATAAGGAAGGGTGTCTTATATTCTTTTGTTATCTAGATTTTACAACTCAAATTGAGTTTTTTCCCTGGCAACATCAAAGAATGGCTAATTATAGCTTGAATAAATTATTATTATTATGAAGTAATGGATTAAAAATACTTAATGTCTTCACTTACTGACCTTATTATCATTATTCTTGCTAAAATTCCTATCTTTGGCCAACAATATCACATCCTGAGTGCTTCTGACACAACCTAGTAAAGGGTTTGATAATTTTGATAGTGTCTTGCTTTCTATTATGACAAAATATTTAAGGATTACTTTCATGCTCCTGATTTAGAATCAGTCCTGTTACTATTTTTTGTAAGGTGAGTAAATATTTATAGAACAACATCTGGACATTAGAGGCACAGTTTAATCGCCAGTCTCCCCTCTCTCAAACATTTCATTTTGAAAGTAAACTGCAAAATGAAAAATTGTATTTTCCATAATTGCAGTAAATGTCAAAACCAGAAAATAAACACTGGTACAATGCATAAAGCTTAGATTTCACCAGTGATACATGCACTCATTTATGCGTGTATGTATGTGCAAGTGTAGAGGTCTATGCAGTTTTAACAAGTTGGGTTCCTCAAACCATTTATTTATTTATTTTGAGGTGTAATTTTATTTTTTAAAAATAAATATATGTATTTATGTCTTCATTTACCTAATTATCTTAATTTTTGCTAAAATTCCTATCTTTAGCCAATAATATCACTTTATAATAGCTAAGACTCCTCCCCCTGACCAAGCAATTTTTAACTCCCCTGGGGTCATACGAAGCTCTAAAAGTAACCATGATGCTGGATTTTATCATTCCCCCCCCCCCTTTAAATAGTACTCCTGTATATCATCTATCTCAAAATGATACTGCTTTCCTGGTCATGTTTGAATAAATTACATTTTTGCGTATTCTTTTGCATAATATTAATTTCTGAATTTAATCTGTATTAATGCATGAATCTACAGATCTTTAACTTTACTGCTGTAGGGAGTCCATTATTTAAATTATTGTCAGTAGACAGTCAGTTGTTTCTAACTTTTCAACTCATAAAAAAAGTTCTTATGAACATTCTTCTAAAAGTCTCCTGGTACACATGTCTAAGAAATTCTCTAGGATACACTCCCAGGAATGGAACTGCTGAATCATAAGTTAAAAGCATCTTTAACTTGACTAAGTAATGTCAAGTGTTCTCAAATTAGATGGACCAATTTGTAACATTTATTATTTCTATTCCTTGATTTCTTCCAGTACTATTTTTCAAATTAGTAATATATAAGTCTTCATACTTATATACTGGTTAAATTTATGCCCAAGTAATTTATCCTTCAGATGATATTGTTAGTTGAGATTTGTTTTCTTAATTTTCTTTTGGCTCATTAACTAGTGGTATAGGCCCTCCCAGGTGGCGCAGCGGGTTAAAGCTGCTGCATTGAGAAGCTGAAGCCACTTATACATGAGTTAGATTCCCGCCTGCCCCGGAGGTGACCACATGGTGCAGCAGACCTCTCCGACCCGCCCGCTGCTCCCCTCAGCAGTGTACTTTGTCGATCCGCCTGTTCTGCTCCCCACACTGTCTCTGGTGAAGCCTCTCACCACCCCTGAGCCTCTGGCCTGTACCCCAGTTCTGTATGTACAAATAAATAAATCTTTAAAAAAAAAAACAAAAACTAGTGGTATATAGAAACACAATTGATTTTTGTGTTTTGGTTGATTCCTGAAACTCTGCTTATTAGCAATGTTTATTTATTAAAAAATAAATTTATAAAAAATTGGTTTATTAGCACTGGTACTTTTTTTTTGTGAAAAGAGGCACACACAGTTTTGTTAATGAATTTATCTAAATATAATCATGTCACCTGCAAATATAGATAATTTTACTTCTTCTTTTTCTTTCTAACTGCTCTAACACTTCTAATACAATGGTGAAGAGCAGTAGTGAAAGTGGAGATCTTTGTCCTGTTCCAAATTTGCAGGAGGGACCTTACAGTCTTTTGCCATTAAGTCTTATATTAGCTATAAGTTTTTCATAAATGTATTCACTCCTAATTTGTTGTTGTTTCTTAAAATCATAACATAGTATTGAATTTTGTCAAATGCTTTTTTGTTGTCTTTTGAGATGATCATGTGACTTTCCTCCTTCACCTTATTAAATTTGATTTTTTAGTTAGTCTTCAAGGTATTGAGAATAACATTTTAATTTCCAAGGAATAAGAGAGTAACATTGTTATTTTCTGAATTGTTAAAAAGAACTATTATTAATAGGTTGGAGTTAACCTTAAGACAGAAAGCAATCACACGTTAATAAACTACAAGGCCAGCAGAAGGACGTTTGGAGTTATTATCTGAAAGAAAAATATCTATGACCACATCTGCTTCAGTTACATACACAAGCATTTCATGAAATATTAAGGAGAAAAGCAAACTTCATAAATAATTAAAATGAAACAAAAGCTCTTATTTCCCTTCAGGGAATGAAAGAGCCAGAGAACACTATAAAATTTACTGTATGTCAATATGAATTACCTCTCAAATATCTTTGAGAATCTATACAGTTACAATTTTGAGATGTGTGTGTGGGAAAAATGGATCTCTCCCTTATACCTCTCACACAAGAGAAAGTAATAATGGTGAATTGCAAGAAAATGTTTGAAACTTAGAGAGTTTCAAACTTCTTTTTGGGCTATCAGATCCTGGGTTGCTTGTAGCAGTATAACAAGAGCAGCATAATAATGGCTTTGTAACAGCAAAACAAATGGTGTAACACTTGTTGGTGTGAACTCTCATGGTACTTGGAACAAAAGGGTACATCTCCCAGCTACATAATTCTTATTAAATTTTTATTATGAATACTTTCAATCTAAACATAAAAGCAGCTCATTTATTCCTTAACCCTGAGTAGCAAGATACTCATATGAATGAAAACAAAAGAAAATGAAGACCGGCTTCTTTTTGTGTCCAAACCAATTAATGAGGTTTTAATTTATTTTGTATGAAAATAATATAAGCAAAAGAGATAACATAGTACAGCAGTGAACAGGGGTAGCACTATATGCAAGTATACTTTGTCAGATATGCCACAAACTTCCTGAGTTCACTTTTCACCCTATAAAATGAGCAGGATAACTAATACTAATCTCAAGATAGGCTAAACTTCCTAGAAAATTCTTAAGTGCTATGTAAAATATACATATATATTTAAATAATGTATATCTACCTGTTTTATAAGCTAAGATAGTGTATGCACTCTAACTTATTCTTGGAAAAAGAGATTTCAAAGAATTTTGGTGGGACAACCTCTTGTATGCAATAAAATGTAATAAAATATAATTTCTAATAAAATTAAACTTGAAAAATGTTATCCTATTACATACTCCAATGTACAGAAACTGAAAAACTCACTTCTAAGTAACTCATGCTAAGAGAAGGGGGATGAAACAACATAAAGCCTTACATATATCACAGAATGTAGTTAAAGCAAAAGAGAATTTATTTCATCATTAAATGGATTTACTTCAAAACAGGAAAGACTGAAAATATAGAACTTAGTAGAAAAAGAACAAGAACACAAACTGTAATAAAGAAGAAAGAAATAATGAATATAAAGGCAGATTAAGGTAACAGAAAACAACACTGAAAACAGAAAAACTAGTCCTTAGAAAAGATTAAGTAGACTGGTAAGTCTGACCAAATATAGAGAAAACACATCAATATTAGAAATAAGTAAGGAGAAAACAATAGAGGCAAGCAAGTTTATATGCAAGCTGACTTCAAATTTGATAAATGGAATGGGTAGTTATCTAGGAAAGTATGTTACCAAAATGTACTAAAAAAAAGAAAACATGAATGGACAAAAAAATAATTTGATCACTAGTTAAAACTCACCATTCCATAAGAGGAACAAAGTCAGGATTTTTTATAAAAAATTACAAATGTACATACATTAGACTAAAAGAAAAAATAGTGAAGAAACACCCATATACTCAGTACTTATATTCTGTAATTAAAGTTTTGCTAAATTTGCTTTCACATATAGCTATCTGTTCTTTTTTCTATGTATTAAAACCTTTTTTTAAATCTTTTACTGAATTGTAGGGGTAAAATTATAAGAAAATAGAATTATGACAGGATTTCAAAGCTCCAGACGAGTGATATTTTCATATCCATATCAACCTAACATGTTAAATGTTTTTCCAAAAAATAGAATTGGAGCTGAAAGCAAGATTTAATAAAACAAGAAAACAGGTGTTCAAGAAGAAGAATCTTGTGTCCCTTTTCATTCCTGTCTTTGAATAATGTCTTGTGAGATACCCTAATTCCTTTCCAATTTCTGAATGCACTGGCCAGTTCCTGCCAAAAGGTACGTGAACTGGCTCTTTTAAAATAGCAGTTATAAAATGAATTTCTATTTCTATTATATTTATATTTCTATAAATATATGCAGTTAGTCAGGAAACATTTACTATACACTTAATTTATCAGAAAGAAAATAACATTTACTAATTACAGGAACAATTTCTCTTCCAAAGGTATGTTTCTTCACTTACAAGATCTGTAAGATCTTGAAGAAAAGCAATTTCATTTATTTTCTTTGTACATGATGTGACATCATTAGCAAGGCTGATGGATGTCAAGACTTTTGAATGAAATGACTACTATCAAAGAAAGAGAGCATATAGATGGGAAGGCTAATTTTTCAAAAACAACATTTATTTCTTTATTGATTACAAAATGTTACTTTTCCCTTTGTGTCTCTATTAGTTTTTGCACTGACACATGAACTAGTGCACTGAGCAAGCCTGCATTATTATTGTCCTTTTTACCATCACGTCAACTTATCAATGGGAACAGAACACCCTCTAGCTTTGTTAGAAGGAATACTGTTTCTAGGAAATTTGTCTTTTAAGTATCTTTTAATATTATTGGCACTTTTGTTTATATGCAAAACCACTATAGATTTTAAAATAGATTACATCAAAATACTGCACCATAAGTAACTCACCTTGTTGGAGGTTTCTAATAAAAACTGGAATGTGTTCTGCACAGCTTGGCATGTCTCTAGTTCAGTACGGCTGAAGGCTATTAAATAATCCTTGAGGTGATCATACACATTTCCATCAAGAGCCTGTAAAAGAGAGTCAACCAAAGCAAATTATGATAAAATTCTGACACATAATGTCTTCTTTCTAAAAGGTAAATTCAGTCTAAAAACTATTAATAATAAATGACAAAAGATGTAGACTGTTTATATAATTTTAAATACAAACACTAAGCAATCACCCGGGTAAGTATTTACTCTCTCTAATAAAAAGGAACCAAAATATGGTAAAATCCAGTATTAGCAAAGCTATGGCAACAGAATTAAACTTGGAGACAAAATAGTTGGTTCTTATCTCTATTAATAGTACCAACTTTGGCCCTCCCTGGTGGCGCAGCGGGTTAAAGCACTGCACTGAGAATCTGAAGCCACTTCCACATGAGTTTGATTCCCACCTGCCCCCGAGGTGACCACATGGCGTGGCAGACCTCTCCTGACCCGCCTGCTGCTCCCCTCAGCAGTGTACTTCGTCAATCTGCCTGTTCTGTTCCCCACTCTGTCTCTGGTGAAGCCTCTCGCCGCCCCTGAGCCTCTGGCCTGTACCCCAGTTCTGTATGCACAAATAAATAAATCTTAAAAAAAAAAAACAAAACAGTACCAACTTCTACAGTCACTTTATAAGAGAAGGTGTGGGAATTAGGAAATAACAGAAAGGATGCAGGCACAGTACCCTGAGCAAAGTACACACTAATTCTCCTCCATTTTTTCTCATCCACTATTCCAGGATCATACATTATACAACATTCTTACTGTAGAGCAATCAGCAAAAAAAAAAAAAGAAATAAAACAAAAACAAAAAACACACTGAAAACACAAAATCTGAATCAGAAATCCTGTTTCAGGGGAGAAACACCAAGATGATACCTATAAAGAGTTTTAGCCGTTCTTATTTTCTATAAACACTTAAGAGCAGAACTTTGAGAAACTGAAAATAAAGGAAACAATAGGAGAACTACCAAACATTTGAGAAATTACTATTATGATTTATGATTAAAACATTTACAACTAAAATATATACAATCACCAAAATAAAAACTGGAAAAGGAATAGATGGAAAAGTATATATCAAATTATTTTAGATTAAAAAAACAGCAGAACAAATACATACTTATTAGCAACAACTGTGGGAGAAATATGTTAATAATAATCAAAAAAGATTATGGAATCCTGTTAATTAATGGAGATTTTCTTAAATTGAGGCCAAATTCACACAACATAAGTCACTTTTTAAGCTATTTTAAAGTGTATAATTCAGTTGCTCTTAGTATATTCACAATGTTTTACAACCATCACTTATTTAATTGTGGTATACTTGCATCATTCCAAGAAGAAATCCTCATTTCCACTAAATGGTCACTTCCACCCCTTAACCCCTGGCAACCACTAATCAATCTACTGTCTATTTCTGCAGATTTGTCCATTCTGGACATTCCTATAATGGAATCATATAATATGTGATCCTCTGTGCCTGCCTCTGTGATTTAACATAGTGTTTTCAAATTTCACTGATACATTAGTTAGTCCTTAATGCTTATGGTTAAATAACACTGTGACTATACCACATTATCCATTCATTAGGGGTAATATTTGGGTTGTTTCTACTTTGGGACTATTTGGCTAACATTGTTATGAATATTTATGTACAAGTTTTTGTTTGAACAACTTGTTTTAGTTCTCTTGGGTATATACCTATTAGTGGAATTGTTGGGGCCTATGGTTAATTGTATGCCTAACTCTGAGAAATTTCCAAAGTGTTTCTCACAGTGGCTGCATCATTAAATTCCCATTATTTTCTGTTTTGATGTTTTCAAATTCTTTGAATCAGTGGTATTTCACTGAGGTTTTGCTTACATTTCTTTAATGCCTCACAACATTGAGTGACTTTTCATGTGTTTCTTTGGCCATCTGCATATCTGCTTTGGAGAAATGTCTAATCAAGTCCTTTACTCATTTTTCAATTGGTGTGTTTGTCTTTTTGTTGTTGAGTTCTAAGAGTTCTTTATATACTTACATATTTGAAAACCATAAACCTTATCATAAGATATATGATTTTAAATATATTCTCCCAGTTAGTGGACTGTCTTTTCATTTTGTTGGTTGTATCCTTTAATGTATAAAAGTTTTAAATTTTGATAGGAGTCTTATTTAGCTGTTTATTCCTTTGTTGCTTCTGCTTTGGGTGCCAATGAAAGAAATTCTTTGTATGTCCTATGTTTTAGTTATCCCATTAAACTTTTACGATGAAACTGATTTTTAAAAGTATAAACAAATCCTGACCCCCCACCCAGCACTAAGAAATAAAGCTGCATGCTTCATAGCGCTTAAACCACTAGATGGCACCACCGAGCACTTTAAATACAGGCAGTACAAATTCCTCAATATTCCTTTTCATGCCGTTATATAACATTCCCAGATAGAATGCCTGTGTTAAGTCTGAACAAAAATTCCTAGCTTACGGCATACTTTCCATGAATTTCTTTAAAAAATATAACTTCTGATATGTTTTCCTTATAAATGCTTTTGGTATATGATTATAACCTTGTGTTTGTGGGAAATCAGTGGAGATTTTATTTAAATACAGCTAATGGCAATAGGGCTTCATCCAAATCCAGATATTCTGATTTTGTAAATTGGTTGTGGGACCTGAGAATCTATATTTTCTTTTTTAAAGATTTATCTATTTATGCATGCAAGAACTGGGGTATAGGGCAGAGGTGCAGAGGGTGAGAGCACCAGGCGGACTGACTGAAATACACTGCTGAGGGAAGCAGCGGGCGGGTCAGAAGTGGTCTGCTGCACCATGTGGGTCACTTCCCTGACTGGGGATAGAACTGGTGCTGCAGTGACTGCGGATTGCTTCATAGTGCTGTGCTACAGCCCACTGCGCCATCAGGGCAGGCCCGAGAATCTGTATTTTCTAACAACTTGCTGCCGGTCTGGGGACCAAACTTAGAAAACCTCTGTATTGAACAGTCACTTTAGCTGATAGGGTTGAGTGTTTATGTAGACTAGACTGCCATGACCCTGTGGAAGCAGAATGGCTGAAGAGAGAGATGCTTACCCTTCTGGCTGGGGTCAACAATACTGATAAAGCAGGTAGGAAGGTAGGCAGAGCATCAGCTGTTATTAACCAAGAATCATGTGTTATAATTCAAAGGGACTACAAAGAGAGCATTAGATGCATCACAGGAAATAACTTGACTTTGAAAATAAATTGGATGTTGGTTAGAAACCCAGAACTTTTATATAGGTTGTCATTTTGATGTCGTTCTCATTTTTAATTAGCAAGAATGTGAATACCATACACTACACTGAGCATGATGAAGATTAAATGAGGTAATGTAAGTGGCAGAATATTAGCCTAACCATTTTCAATGGATTGGACACATCCTAAAAATTGTTAAAGTGAGGCAATGAATATTGAGGGTCATTTATTACACAGTTCACTTTATTTTAGCATATGTTGGAAATTTTTCATTAAAAAAATCTAGAAAGAAATCCTGAATATTGAATTAGGGAGAAAATAATGAAAGCATAAAAGTTTTTTTTTTAATCCAGTAGTTCCCACAACAAATTTTGAAAAATTAAAAATCATTCAGCTGTTATCTAAGGCCCTTTACAATGTAGTCCCAAAGTACTGCTTAGCATCACTTCTCACCACTGTTGTCTGCATTGTCCTCTATATCCCCACCACATTAAGACATTTTGATTTTGGAAAATGACATTAACTTTCATTTTTCTGATAAAGTTATTCTGTTGGCCTGGGATGTCCATCCCCCTTGTCTCCCCTACTCAGTTGGTAACAATGGTAGTTAACACAGACTATTAACATGTACTAATGGTTTACGTATTCCAAAAGCTTTATAAAACTGATCAATGGTTGCTCCTTAGTGATTCTGATTCCACAAACTTAAGTGTGTTGTATGGGTATTAGCCGGTCATAAATTGAGTCTTATTCAGGCACAGTTCCTGGCAAATAGCAAATGCTCAAAAATATCTGTAGAATAAATAAACAAAAGCTTTACTCCTCCAGAGTTTAATATAGCAACAAATATGCACTGACTTAGTTTTAGCTTACAGGCAAGTACACCCAATATATTCCAGAGAAGAGAAAGTGCATCATTAGTCATCATGTAGCAAATCAGAAAACACTTTTCTTGGCTTTAGCAACCAAGTAACGCTTAATGAAATTTTATTTGATAGGAGTGGGCTGAGTGATTAGAAGCCTCTTCCAATAGACAGATATTAAGTCTTAAAACATTTCTTTCACTTTACTCAACACTCAGAATTCCCCGAATTTTAATTACCACTTTCACAGAGGTGCAGTATTCATTAATCTGTACATGTACAAATTTTTCTGGTGATAAGAAATGTAAGAATATAATAGGAGGAGCCTTCTGGCCTAGGTAGCTGATTGCTAGTGTGCAGAGAGTAAATGCAGGAGGTATGAAAATTAAGAAATGGTTGGGACTCAAAGCACAGGAAGTGGATGATTACCCTGTGATTTGCTCTAACCCTCTGTCTCATTCATGTTAACTGCAGTTGTTTGAAACAGTGATGGTGCCTAGAGATGAACTTCAAAGTAATTCTGTATAGTACCATCTCAACATAGTTTGTGATTAGAAGGCAGACTACATAAATATTTATATGAACTTTGATTAAAAAGCCAATAATTAGAAAAGAAGTCCCCACAAACAGAATGAAATACTGGGAGCCGGCAAGAGAATCTGAAAATGCTTGACAGTCTTTTTCATCACTATACTTATCATAGAGTACGTATCATGGTCTACTAACATCTGGATTATTACAGCAATCCTCTCTTGCTCTGCATCCAGTTGTCCCTAGTGCCAACACATTTCTTACAGCTAAGATGATATTTCTAAATTACATAGTGAAAACCATATATATATACACACACACACACACACACACACACACACACACACATACATATGTACACCCACGTCTAATTTCCCTACCAGTTCCTTGACAGCAAGCAGCATTTGCTTCTTCCCTCTATTCCTAAC